CTCGGTATGGGCCCAACCACTTGGCCAAAAGGGAGGCCGAGATGCCTTTGGTGGCGTCACTCAAGACGTGAATGCGCCTGAGGACGAGATCACCGACATCGTCGGACATCCCGATGGGACCTCAAGACCGGCTATTGGCAGATTGAAGTCGAGGAGAAAAATAGAGAAAAAACTGCTTTCGTTACACCAGATGGCCTAATCGAGTTCAAGGTCATGCCCTTTGGTCTTTGCTCGGTACCTGCGACTTTCCGACGTGTTATGGATTCAGTACTGGCCGGCTTATGGCAGACTTGCCTTCTGTACCTGGACGACGTCGCAGTGTTTAAACTTCGACGAACACCTCCGGCACCTTAAAGCTTTACTGCGAGCTATCAAGACCTACGGACTCACCCTGATTGATTGATTTGTGGGGTTTATCGTCCCAAAATCACCATATGATTATGAGACACGCCGTAGTGGAGGGCTCCGGAAATTTTGACCGCCTGGGGTTTTTTAACGTGCACCCAAATCTGAGCACATGTGCCTACAACATTTCCGCCTCCATCAGAAATGCAGCCGCCGCAGCCGGGATTTGATCCCGCGACCTTCGGGTCAGCAGTCGAGTACCTTAGCCACTAGACCACCGCGGCGGGGCCTTTCTTGCGAAATGGCGCTTTCCTGAAGAAAAACTTCTCGCCACTTCGGGCCGACTAACTCCTCATAGTACCTTCAGCGTTGCGTCCAGAAGTTTTAGATGCTCTACACCATTACCCGATGGCTGGATACCTCGGTGTTTCCCGTACGCTTGCCAGAATACAGGAGAAGTATTACAGGCCACGCCTTTCCACCAAAGTAACTCGTTATGTGAAGACATGCCATGACTGCCAACAACGAAATACACTGCCGACTAGGCCAGCTGGACTTCTCCAGTCCATCGAGCCACTTCACCGGCCGTTCCAGCAAATCGGCATGAACTTATTGGGGCCATTCCCGACGTCAAACTGCAGGAACAAATGGATCCTCGTGGCTACAGATTACCTCAAGCGATGCACCGAGACAAGGGCCCTTCCCAAAGGCAGTGCGGTTGAGGTAGCAAAGTTCTTTGTCGAAAGCATTGTCCTGCGTCACGGAGCCCCACAGGTCCTTATTACTGACAGAGGTACGGCCTTTACAGCGGACCTAACTCTGGGGACCGTGATGTACAGCCAGACAAGTCACCGCCGGACCACCGCCTATAGTCCACAGACAAATGGCCTCACCGAGCGTCTTAAGTCCATCGCCGACATGCTGGCCATGTTGACGTCAAACACAAGACGTGGGATGCCATCCTTACGTACGTGACCTTCGCATGCACCACCGCCGTTCAAGAAACGCCGCAAATGACGCCGTACAAACTGGTCTAAGGAAGGACCGCGGCAACTACGCTCGATTGCATGTCACCCAACGTCACCAACGAAGAAAACGTCGATGGGAGCGAGTACCTTCAGCGCGCCGAAGAGGCCCAACAACTCGCCCGCCTCCACACCAACAACCAACAGAACAGATGACGGATAGCCGCCATTACAATCTTCGACAACGCTTCGTGGAATATCAGTCCGGAGAACGTGTTTGGGTATGGACGCCGCTACGCCGACAGGGACTCAGTGAAAAACTTCTGCGACGGTACTTCAGACCATACAGGGTAGTACGACGTCTCGGCTCACTCGACTACGAGGTTGCCCCCGACGGCATTACGAACTCTCAATGGAGCCAATCACGACAGTTTCATGCATGTTAACGAGCGCAAACAGTGTATTTTATTGTTGTTGTTATTGCTGTATTGTAGTTTATTGCTTGTACTTACAGTCAAACTGCGCTACAACGAATGCTGCTTCAACGAAATTTCCTCTACAACGAAAAATTCACGATTCCCTGTCAGTCTATAGGAGTCAATGGATAAATATTGTCGCCCCAACGAACGTTTTTTTCAATGATTCCGCTTCAACGAAATTTTACGATGCAATTCCAATCTCAGATACTTATCTATGCAGTAAACCCAATCTTTAACATTTCGATGCATTTTCAGAGCCTGAAAATGGGTCATCGAAGTCTAAAACACACGTTGGCACAACCATAAACTGCCGCTACACCGCCGCTGTTCAGCAAGCATGGGCGCCGCCATTGCTCGATAGCAATGGCAATGAGACTGCCCTGCTAAAGTGTAGTAACTGTAGCCCTGATTTTGCCACTGGCTTGCTTTTGAGATGCAGACGATCCGAAGCTGTAGCTCAGTCGCTCAGTTCATGGTTTCCTTCGCACAGCTGCTGGATGCGACCGTTGAACGATGCCTTTTCCGATTATGATGCTTATCATTAATTAGGTTTGCGCTTGGCCAGCATGATAATTAATCACAGTGGCTGTTCGTCCACATTATTAACAAAATCAGCTAGCCGCGAGTGATGGATAAGAATGGCATAGGTTAATGCAATAGTCACCGCTCCACAGTACCTTGCCCCTATCTCGGCTTTGTCGGATACTTTTGACAGCGCACAGCTGCTGGTGTTCACCTGTTAATGCAACTGTTTAGTTTATTCATGAAGGCGCTCTTAGGCATTGTTTCAGCATGCTTTTCACCATGGCCTCGCTATGCATGGGTGAGAATCACGTCGTGACGCTGCTGAGAAAGAATAGGAAGCAGCGCACATTTTTTCACTTTTTAGAATAATCTTTCCTTTGTTTTGCTAGCGAAGTTCAGCTATATTTTTTCGATTTCACTACAGCGAAACGTTCGCTTCAACGAAAGTTTTTCCGTGCCCCATCAGTTTCGTTGCAGCAGGATTCGACTGTATTTTTGTACATTTGTTCTTGTTAAAGCGTCGGGGCGATGCCTTTTTCAGAGGGGTGTAATGCCACGTTCCTTTCCTCAAGTTTTGTTATCACCCTATTACACTACGTTCCGCGCAAACCACGCCTACGATGTTTGAGAAACTTTGAGGCTCAAGTAAATTGTTTTGTTAAAATTAAATTCACTTCGGGAATGTCACAGTTTATTCAGGAATCTACTAGCGATAGGAATCAGGAATCAGGAATAGAATTCAGGAATCTACTAGCGTCATCGCTAGCGATAGCGCTCGAATATTCAATGGCGAGGGTATGAATACCGACACACTTCGCCACTTGTCAGTTGATCAACGGCAGACGCTCTGCCTGCCGCTATCAGTTTGCCAGTGCCTTGCTGTAATCTGACTTTTCTTCTACGTTATACTGACCCCGCTACTAACTGTAGCCGACGATCACCGCGGGTTCACGCTTAGCGAGCCGCAGGGCCGCTACTCCATTTACTCACGTGTAGCGCACCGCTCCGCGCGCGCTCAACTAATAAGGCGTTTAGTAATAAGGCGTGCAGGGGCGTGCTCGAAATGAGCTTGGCTGCTAGGTTGCGTAGCAGCCAGCGGGCAAAATTCGGCAACGGCTGAGGCCGCGGTGTCGATCTGCGCCCCGGAAGCTCCACTGAGAGCCGTTTCGGAGCGCTGTGACATAGAACTGCCATGCATTCCATAGGGAGCAGTGGTAGTCCAATTTGCCCTTGTGCACTGTTCGGGTTGGGCTATGGCCCCGGACCCAAAACACGCTACCTCTCCAGTGGGAGCTGATACGTAGCGCCTCGTGTCATCCCGACTGGGGCTTGTGAAAAGTGAGGGTGCGCGATTGTGATGCTCAAGGGGGGCACTGGCCCTGTTCTCGAGCAATGCGGTATCTGCTAAAAGCGTCAGTGGACAGAACTCACGCGGAGCAGACATAACGCGGGTAAACGTGGCGAGCCTGATTCGCAAAGGCGGGCTGACTCGGCTAAGACTAATCAAAGGTTTAATGAGCCTTTAATACCGCGTTGGGCGCCAGTATAGTGACCCCGCTACTAACTGTAGCCGACGATCACCGCGGGTTCACGCTTAGCGAGCCACAGGGCCGCTACTCCGTTTACTCGCGTGTAGCGCACCGCTCCGCGCGCGCTCAACTAATAAGGCGTTTAGCGCGGCGCGGCAAACAGACAGTGTTCTAATGCAAAACACAACACTTTATTGCCACTGGCGGCACCCCGAACAACAGTACAACGTCCGCTCCCGGGACGCGGGTAGCAAAGGCACCCGCACGCGGACGTTCACAATAAGGGGAAAAACCGCGAGCACGTCGCAGCTGGCAATGGCGAGCTTTGACACGCCGGTCGGGAAAAGGTCCCTTGCGGCTATGCTGCGCACTCTCACGATGGCCAATGGGCCTGGTCGCGAGTGTTAGGGCAACCTCGCACGCGTAGGCCTACGGCAAGTGCGGCTCGTTGTGGTACGACCACTTCAAGCACTAGGCACCGCTGTGGGCTTAGCGTACGCTACCGAAGCTAGCACTCAAGTAAACACGCCTGCCGAGGTGCCCAAGGCCACCCCAGGCAGGCTACAGTCCGGCGATTCCCAAAGGGGACGTGGACGACGGAAAACATGTGCTTACCCGGCGCCGACCAACGGAGAAGAGACCGCTCCCTCGGCGCGCGCCGTGCCCGCACGTGGCGCCATCTATCGCCACGTGGTGTTAACAAAGCAGGAAAGCGAAAGGGTGTGGCCGTGTGGCGGAATGCCCGCGAAATGGTCGCAGGCGCGCCTCAGATCCCCACAACGTGGCCACAAGTTCGGCCAATTAAATCAACACTTTTCATTTAGACAAGTCTCTACATTTGTCAGCGTCACGACACCGTGGCAATAGCTGGGAAATGCTAAAACCTAAGAAATGCCTTTGATTCAACTAGCTTGTACGTCAAGTGCAAGTTGATCCCATTTGTTTTATCATGATGAGAGATCGCACAAACACCTGAGTGACGCCCTTGCACTGATTTAAATGCCGGAGCATCTAATGCAGAAGTTAGACACACACGACAAGTAACTCCGACGAAATGTATAAATGATGCTATAGTTGACTCTGATGATGGCAGTGCAGGAACCATGCCATAGAGGACATGCTGACAAAAATGACACTGCAAGGGTCAAAGTACACACGTTGCCATTCTCTTGATCCGATCGGGTGCGGATAGCATTCGACCAGGTTCAGCAGCAGCTTGCATGACATGGTCTGGATGGAGGCCGGCAGGGACTCGTCGTGGACATTTCTCGAGAACACAGCCACTGCAGATGACAGATTGTTCAGCGGCAGATGCTGCCTGACGTGGTGCACCAGATCAGCTAGGGTGCTGTATGCCAGCGGCCTGCACATAACCCAGGCAAACGACACAGTTTTCGCGAGCGCCCACAGAATCGCATGCACGGCGCGCTTGCAGTAGTTACAATCGAGCATGTGCATCTGTGTGCGACCCGCAAAGTCTTATTATCCGTCTAGCTTGTGCCCACCAGGTAATTACCGATTTTACTTTTACATAGCTGCAGCCCACGCCAATTTTCGGTATTGTCATGCCCGAGATGCATGAAGCCTTGCACACCGTTTACGTTTCGCGTAAGTAAGAATTGTGAGCTCATTTTATTCGGATCCCACAAGATCACAACTACCTGATGTGAAGAGCTACACCTTTTCTCGTGCATCGAAATTTATTATAGTAAATGTGAGTATGTCGCTTCAGAAAACGTTGCTTCCGACATAATCATTTCGTTTAGAATAAGCAACCTCTGCAATTGCAGTTGTCACTATTCATTTAACACAAAATAAGATAGACTTTTTATTTCCTCCAAACACGTCTATAGTATTCATAGCAGGTCTTTCATTTACCCGGTAAAAGCGCTCGTGCGCTTCTACCCGCTCATGAAAGTTACAATGCAAGGGGGCATGTTGTCGATTTGGACTTGTTGCGAAACATGGCTGAAACAGCAAGAACCCCGCGGAGAGTGTCTATATAAATGATATCGCAATAATAACGCAGTTTTTTACTGTAAAATGAGTGTTTGGGGTTAGCACTACCTTCTGTTCCCCATCTGTTAATTTGAGCGTTATATTTTCGTACTGAACTTGCACATAACGAAAACCTCTTTATAACAAATTTTTCCGGGAATTTATCAATTGCGATACAGTCGCTGGCCGATTTTTCGAACCTGGTGGGGACCGAAAAAAGTCCGAAAAATTGAACAGTCCGAAAAATTAGTTTTTGTCCAGAAATATGAACTTCATTGCATCAGGCAGGCTTAAGAAAGTCTATGATTCTGCCTTGCCTTATATTACGCTTGGAAGCAATTTGGTTCGCCCATATTTGCGCCAAGGTGACATTGTCGCCCTAAATTCTCGACAAAAGCGTCGGTGCTCTTTTGAAGTCCGAAACATCCAACAAGTCCGAATTTTTGGAGTCCAAAAAAAAAAATCGGTCGGCAACTGTATATCCAGGTTTAACTGTACGTGGAATCTGCCAGACTTTGGGCTAATGTTCGCTCAAGCAAATGGAAACATGTCTACACAGTGCCACTTTCGGCAACGCTAAACAAAGCATTGGGTGCTGGCCAAATCATGATGTTAAGCTAGAGCACGCAACTCATCAAAGACGTCCTCTAAAGGGCCCGTAAACCACCTACGATATTTTTTTCAAGCATTTCAAGTAAACGCGCACATAGTGTGCTCAATGCTGTCGCGATCATCGATTCTACACACAACAGCGCTACGAGCCACCAATGCGCCACAAATTCCAAGAAACAAACCCTCCTTCGTTCCGTGCTTTTCCGGCTTCTGCGCGACGCCCCATGCCACATCTCTGTTGCGCCGAGCTAAATATGCCAAATACGCTGTGATTGGTCGAGCAAGAGCCTACGACTTCGAGTCAGTCTGCAAGCAGCTGTCCGCGCTGCTTGTTGTTTGTCGTGTTGCCCGGGTGCATGCAACACGTGCGGGTCCATTGTGTTGGCGATCCTTTGAAGGCGTGCGCTCTATGCAGGGTCCATGCAGGCACGATTACGGCAGCCACGGTTCGCCAACAAGCACACAGCTACAACGCAGCTGACGGAGTTGACAGCCGGAGTTGTGGCAACCGGAGGTAGATGGTGTTTCAAGCAGCGCGTCAGTGACGATGTATGCCATGTGAGATTGGGAGAGGTATAGGAGGGGCGCTTGGCGAGAGGGCAAAGCAGCATGGGAGAGGACACCAGCGAAGTGAAATGCAGGAGAAAACGAAAAATGTGGTTGTCATTGTTTCGATAATCAAACGCGTCTAACTCCGCTATTACTGCACAGTTTCGAAAAATTTTCACGCCTCCGTGTTCGCCGTGCACTCATGCAGAATTTCCCCACCACGGCTTAATTTCGTCCTCTGGGTGGTTTACGGGCCCTTTAAGATTCACTGTGCCTGGGCACCTGCTATGTGAAGACAGAACCATCGTAGTCCCACTTTGCTGTATTTTCTAAAACTGAAACCACAGCTACACATCGTCTCTAAGCACCTTATAATCACATGCTCATGCAAACAAGGTTTCGAGCCTTGATAAATGAGTCATTAATCACTTATTGCAACACTAAATTCAGTTTCCTCGGTACTGTGCACATAAATCATGAACCAAACCAGCCTGATTGTGCACACTACAGCAGTTCACAAACAAAAGCTCTTAACATCACTGCTTCTTGTGCACAGATTACGACACTTTGTCAAGCATTAAATTGCCTTATTGCAGCCCCTTACATGTATGATCTGTGGGGGTGCTGACACCCCCCCTGTAAAGTTGTCTGCGCCGCGTGGCGCACGTGTCTCGCCCCAAGGCTTTCTTTCGGGGGTGACCACCGCCGGGCGATAGATGGCGTTGTGTTCGCTTTGAGTACCACTGTTGGTAGAGTGGTAGCGCCGGCGGTGGCCCCTGGCGGAAGGCGGGCCTTGGTGGTGGGCGACAGTTGAGCGGGTCTCTTCTCCGCGTGGCGGCTGCCGCGAACGGTTGTCTGTAGCGCGGGTCCCCGGTGCTCGGCACCGCGGGCTTCGCGCCGGGGTCCCACGTGGAAAGTCAGGCGTTGGCGACGCCGTCTTGGGTATGTGCTAGTGTGTTGAGTGTGTTAGTGTGTGTTTATCATGTTATTGTGTGTTTAGTGTGTCACTGCGTTATGTTGTTTGTATGGTTTAGTGTTAATTGACATTGTTTTATCATTCGGCGGACGATATCGTCGTCTAAATTAGTTAATAAATGTATGTATGTGGTGTGCTTGGTACCGATCGTGTCAACTGTGTCCCTTCACTCCGAGAGCGTGGCGTGGCGGTGCGCGCGTTCGCCTCGCCGAGACCCCACACTGGCGCCCAACGTGGGGCTCTTTGAGAATCGGACGACAGTTTTTGCGGTTCGGTACAGGGATTTTGTTAGAGCCGGAGTAGAGTAGGCCTAGGGGGGACTTCTTTGCTAGCGTCGGTGGTGTGCTTTGTTGAGAAGCGAGGGGATTGGTTTTGTAACGTGTTTCAATTTGTCGGCAGGTTGACTTTCTATTTTTTTTTGCTCGCAAGTGTTCTTATTTTTTGTTGTTAGTTTTCAAAAACGTTGGTTGAATTAGGACGAGAGCCATGCGGTCCGCATCCTGGGGTGAGCAAGGCCTAGAGCACGTGTTTGTAGGCCAGGCCCGAGCGAGTGAGTACGGAAGCCTCGTGGGTGGTGCGATTTTCTGTAAATAGCTTCTTCTATATCTTTGGGCTCAGGGAGCCGGGCGTCGTTGCTGTCTGGTATTGCGGCTCAGCGCCGGGGCGTCGTGACACCGCCCGGGGCGGTGGACGCCGATCGCTCGGTAAGCTGCTGTGTGCGGCGAGCGATAGGGCCACCTCACAGAGTGGACGACTCCTCGCGGCTGCCTCTTCTGCGCCTAGGCTGGGTGCTGGTGGATGCCGGTTGTTGCCGAGCGACTCAATAGGCCTAAGGCTCTGCGCAGCCGCCTGTCGCACGTGGCGCAACTAGGTGGATCGTGGCGGTGAGTGTTTGCGCTCTGCTTCCCTCACTTTTTTTTCTTGTGAGCACGAGTTAGGAAAAAGTGATTTTTGTTTTATTTTGATGGGCGTCTCGGCTGCCACCGATGTATTAGCTAGCAGTACTGGATCACCGTACCACGTGGCCGAAAAGCCTGAAGCTCCCTCCTCTGGCCGCGCTCCTTTGTTTCTTTCGAGTTTGTTTTTTCGTTGATGTATTCGAGTTTTTGATGTATTCAGCGGTAGGGATTCAGTCCAGCGTCCGGCGTCCGGCACAGGAATCGTCGCTGGCCAGGATGCGCGTGAGTCGGGCGATTGGAGATGCCTGGGACCTGCGCAACTGCCTGCAGTCCGGCGCCCTCGGGAGTGCTGGTCGCAACTGGAAGACGTGTCGGCGCTAGCGACGGATCGTCGCGCCGACGGCAACGTTGCTGTTGCTGGGCCGGTACTGAGGTGAAGTCTAGCCGGAGAGTGCAGCAGTGTCGACCAGCGGCGGTGTCGTGGTGCAAGGACATTATGGTCGTGCGATATCATTTTTTGTTAAAGCTTGTGTAGCTAATTTCTGATTTCGGGATATGGTTTGATTAAGGTTGGGGGAATGTGGGGGGTGCTGACACCCCCCCTGTAAAGTTGTCTGCGCCGCGTGGCGCACGTGTCTCGCCCAAGGCTTTCTTTCGGGGTGACCACCGCCGGGCGATAGATGGCGTTGTGTTCGCTTTGAGTACCACTGTTGGTAGAGTGGTAGCGCCGGCGGTGGCCCCTGGCGGAAGGCGGGCCTTGGTGGTGGGCGACAGTTGAGCGGGTCTCTTCTCCGCGTGGCGGCTGCCGCGAACGGTTGTCTGTAGCGCGGGTCCCCGGTGCTCGGCACCGCGGGCTTCGCGCCGGGGTCCCACGTGGAAAGTCAGGCGTTGGCGACGCCGTCTTGGGTATGTGCTAGTGTGTTGAGTGTGTTAGTGTGTGTTTATCATGTTATTGTGTGTTTAGTGTGTCACTGCGTTATGTTGTTTGTATGGTTTAGTGTTAATTGACATTGTTTTATCATTCGGCGGACGATATCGTCGTCTAAATTAGTTAATAAATGTATGTATGTGGTGTGCTTGGTACCGATCGTGTCAACTGTGTCCCTTCACTCCGAGAGCGTGGCGTGGCGGTGCGCGCGTTCGCCTCGCCGAGACCCCACAGATCAATGTTCGAAATTTCAAGTGGTGCAAGTGATTGTTTAAGTTACCTCACTCTGCGAAAAGCCATTTTCAAGCAAATGAACAGTGTGCTTACCTCAGTGACTCATATGCTGTCCACCCTGATCCAATAAGGATGTTCTCGTCAAAGAGCTGCTCCATGCAGCCAACGAACTCTGCAGGACAAAGGCAATGCTATCATTGATAAACTGCTCCACGAGCTTTCAAAAACAAATCAGTCAATTTCACTAGAGTTTTTTTACATATATACAGTCCAACCCATTTAAAATAAATTTGAGAGTACTGCAAAAGTGGTCGGTACACAATAAAATCTCGGCATAACGAACTTCAGAGGGTCGCAGAGATTTGTTCATTACTTTGAAAGGTTGTTATAATAAAAGCACAATATTAACTATAAATACTTATTTTCCACCAACCAAAACGACTTACCTTTACAACAAAGGATCCTTGAACTCGTTTTTCACGGGAAACAACAAATGCACAAGTGAAAATTTTTTTTTATGAGTGTACAAGCTTAGCAGGGCGAAGGCCTCCAGCTCATCCACATTTTTGCAGTGCGATTCGGTCACTTTGGCATTTTTCGCTACAAAAATGAGTGCTTTCCACATGATATCCATCATATCTGCAGCCGTCACGACCTCGTCACAGTCTTCAGGTTGTCAACGTTGTGACAAGGTTGCGTCTTCATTGTCCACGGCATCGTCCACACCATCATCGCTGCCTTCATCTTGAATGGTTTGAAGGATGTCTTCTGTCGTTAGCTTTGCTGATGTGGTTCTTTCATCCCACAGCAAATAATCATCAAATGAGACTGGATTCATGGCCAACAGATCGGTCACCTCACTCCTAAGCTCACAGGGTTGCCCTCCTCCGCCTGGTCATTGTTGGGTAGCTGCTTGGCATCTTCTGGTTGCTCACTAGTGTGCATGAGCCCTGCTTTCTGCCAGCAGTTCTGAACAGTTGTTGAAGTGACGCTCCACCATGCGCTGGCGAGCATTTACGCCACCTGTCGTAATGGTGATGACAGTTGACTGCTGAAGTCACACGATTATAAGCCGAGCTCAACAAGACACTAGCAAAAGTGCGCCTTGACATAATTATTCCTAGATCAAGGGGTTGAAGCACGTATGTGCAGTTCGGCAGGAGGTACTCAAGGCGCACATTAGTTAGCCGTACGTTAACAATGTGTGCCAAGCAGCTATCAACTATCATTAAAATGTTCCGTCGTTCCATTTTTACCTTCTTGTCGAGGGTCAGAAGCCACTCCATAAAGAGCTCTTGAGTCACCTAGGCTTGTTTGTTTGCCCTGTAATCGCAAGGAAGTGACACCACATTCTTCATGCAGCACGGTTGTGCAAACCTTCCAATGAAAAGAGGCTTAGGCTTATCTGTGCCGATTGCATTGCAACAATAGAGAACAGTAACGTGAATCTTCGATTTTTTGCCGCGCTTGCACACTTCCTCCTTAAAGAGGCCCAGCGACACTATTTGAGCGTGTATTTTTCATTGGTTCTTCAGGTGCTCTGGAACACGCCGATACTGTTGCGCAAATGGCAATGCCGAAATTGACATTGTTATAATTTTAATACATGGGACAAACTACCTTGGTTTCAGACTGCGGCAACACTCATCGGCTATTTCTGTTATGGGAACTGACGCAATGTCATGTGACGCGACGACAAACACCGTTCACTTTTGATTGGCTGGACACTAGAAATAGCATGCAATATTCATATGGTGGTAGCTAGGCCATACGAACTTATGCTAAAAACACCAAAAACCTTCTTTATACCCTCTCATAGAACAATCATTGCTGTTTCGAAATGATGTATTTGGAGGACAAGGAACACAACACAGCCTGCGAACGAGGCTATGGTACGCCAGCAAGCAACTAAACATAGAAAGGCATGCCGCGTTTTTAGCGAGCCAGCAATGCGACGAACCGAGGGCGCCGACGTTGACGTAGAACGAGTCTTGCATGCAAGCTGGGAAGTAACCCTACCCAAAGTGTATGTGTGTATTTTACACAGTGTGACCGTGGGAGCGTCTTCTAAGTTTCTACTTGACGCACGTGGTTCATAGTAACAATGCTAACGACACCGTCAAAACGAGGGGTAGTGAGGTACTGTGTGAAGACCACCATGAGGTGACACTTTCGGAATGTCTTTATGAGACGCGCACTGTGACTGGAAGCGGTCTTTGTTGTCAGCAGGCAAGTGAAATGCGAAAGAGAACACTTCTTCTTGTCGCCTGCTCGTGTTTTGAACTTTGAGGACTCATAACTTCACTGTCCGTGCACCAACTTCCATCATTCTTGTTGCAGTCGTCCCAGTAATCATCGCTACGCGTGTTCCTGTGCTAAATAAGGGCTGTTCAAGAAGTGTCACAGGGCCCTTTTAAGGTGCATCGTCTTGTCCGGCAGAAGTTGGTGGAGCAGGCCGTCTCATCAGCATTGAATACATCAGCCGCACTGCACGACTCCATTATTTCCCTAAATTTCTCTTCCTGCCACGTGGACGCTACCCCTTTTGTGTGCTGCCTTCTGCTCACCGGAAACAATCTGCCAGGTGATCGCATTTCGCTGGCAAAAACAGTGGAGCCAACCAGAAGATGCTTCAAAGACTGTTACATTCAAAATCGCAGCAAACTGTAGCGTCTTCTCTTGAGTCAGTGGGCCAACACGGGCATGTTTTCGGCTCTTACCTCTTTCAACCATGTGAGCACTTCGGAGTCTATCGGCTGGAAGTCACGGAGCTGCTGTCAGTTTCTTGAGAGGGCAAGTTGTGACTGATCCTGGCACCTAATTATTTTGTCCTTATCTTTCAGAATCATCGCAATTGTGGAATGTGCCACTACAAGTTTTTTGGCCCCAACAGCCTGCTTTTTGCCTTCTTCCAGTTGCCGAAGAATATCGACTTTCTCGCTTGGCGAAATCTCTTTCCGCTTCTTCATCACACAAAGCAGAGATGAACTCATTGTAGCACTGCAGCGTGAAGGCCGACTTGCTTTGTGGACGCGATAAGTAAACACCGAAAAGAGATGAACGTGATTGACAAGGCCTAGAGCACATGTAGAAATGACAAAGAAAAACCAGATGCGTCGCAGCTGTCATCGCCTCTTCTGAAGAAAAGAAAGAGCAGAAAATTCGCTGACTTCGCCTGCCCTTCAGCGTTTTCCCTCGCCCCTCACCTCTGCACTTGTAAACCTGAAGCGTCGGCGTTTCAAAAAAAAAAAAAGAAAAAGAAAGAAAAGAAAGTCGTCCTATCACTTTTTATTTTTCGTTTTTTTTTTTTAACCTCCGCACTGTCGCGCATCTTTTAAGAAGCAAGGCGTCCGTTCAATGTGTCGCCTGCTTGTGTACCGCTCCAATGGTTGCGACGAATTTCAAAACATAAATTGGTAGTACTGAGGCATTGTCGATATAAAACTGAACTAAATATAGCGCTCGTTATTCTGAAAAGTTCAGTATTCTGAAGCACATAGTAGTGAAATATTTTACACTAAAACTAGTAGCAGTCGGTATGAAATTTTTTAAAAGTTCATTAATGAGGTGTTCGTTCTACTGGGTTTTTCACTGTATCAGTAGTTTGTATATAGACTGGCCCTTAAAAAACTTACACGGAATTCATCTTTTTCAAAGCCATGAGCTTTGCCGTGCTGCGCAGGTAGTTCTTGATTGCGCCGACGCGAGCCACCGCACCCGCTGATGCTTTGGCCGCCATATTGAATGTACGGCTGGTTGTTTACATCCCGTGGTTTGAGACATTGTTTGAGAGCTAGCGCAAGCCATAGCAGTAAGGTGATGCACTGTGGCGTGGCGGCTAAATTAGCCTCGGACAGATCTTTCGCGTCGGCCTCACAACATGGGTTTCTGGCCACTTTTCTGGGGGCGAAGCGAGAAAAATTCCATTGAGCTTTGCTGCATTCGCTACCTTCGAAGCGAGAAGAATTCCACTGAGCTTTGCTGCATTCGCTCCCTTCGAGGCCAAGTGTGAACGGGCCTTCCTCCCATAGACAAGCTGCAATGCGTCGCTCGCGTGCAGCGGTCAATCACGTGTTCATATTATTTGCGGTTGCTAGAGAAACCATTCGTATACCATCGAATCACGGCATATTATTTTAATGTAGTCCACCTGAAGCAACGCTAATTTTTGTATCAGCGAAATTCGCATCAGAAAAAAATGCAAACAACACAGACGCTGACTCGCAGTTATGAGTCAGCACCTGCATTGTTTGCATCTCTCTTTCAGTGCCCGCGTTGATGGCTACGGCAACGCATTTTGTCTAGAAGTTGTGTCATCCCACTGATAGGTATCCGCTGCGGTCAGCAGACCTTGTTTTTTAGCTGGTCGATCGCGCCTCGCAAGTGCCCTGACCTAATGGGAATATATCCCACACCGTGCTTTAGGACTGGAGTCTGCACACGTGCATTGATTGACGCAAACTACAGGTGACCAATGTGGCCTCAACGCAGGGGCGGCGCCAGCATGTTTTTACTGGGGGGGCAACAACGAAAAGTTAGTTCCTCCGGGGGGGGGGGGGGGGGGCGAGCTAGCTCTGCTCCTACTAGGTTTTCAATATATGCTTCCGGGCACTTAGGTGGGCATAGGGGGGGCAGGCGAGAATTTTGGGAAGGCTCCAGCCCACCCTTGCCCCCCCCCCTGGCGCCGCCCCTGCCTCAACGTCTCACTGAAATTAGTGCAACTGAGAAAATTTTGAGGCTGGTCAGGCATTTTGGCGCAGTGTGGCACAATTTCAGCAAATTTCATGGTTTTGGCACAGCTTGGCACAGAAATGGGGATTTGTATCAAATTTGCAAAATTTCCGTAGCTGTTACCCCCTGGTATGAGGCAAAAATACTCTATTCGTGCAAAATGCTCCAGTGCCAAAAATAAAATATTAATATAGTTATCAACACTCTCATACGCTGCTCCCAAAGCATACCGGATTAGATTTTTTCCTAATGGTGTATATGCGCACAATGTTAATGAGAGGGCCCGACCGCGCCGTTTCCATCCCTGAATAGCCATCGAAATTTTAACAGCGTTGGGGCATTTCGTTCACTCGACAGACTCAATGGCCTTCGACACCGCCTGTGTGGCAGCTCGTGCTGGAAGGCTGAGTCAACAAACCATCAGTTTGATAGCCTTCCAAACAGCTATACGACACAAGTATTAATTATGTTGCTTTCGTTGATAATTTACGGGTTTCCTGGATCAGACAGTGTACATCCAGCAAGCAGGAGTGATACTCAGCTGTTACGCAGGTCAGTGGCCAGGATGTGGCGGGCAGCAATCAGCAGTTCCTTGCGCAGGTGGGCCACCTCCTGAGGACACAGCATGAGCAGACCCAGCATGCCCTGTGCCAGCTGGCTACAATGCACACCCACAGTCTCCTGCAAGGCACCACTGCCATATCAGCACTCCACTGGGCACAAATTATTCAACTCTTTCGCTACCATGCCAACTCAAATCGATCACCCGCTTTTTTTTTCTCTTTTACTCCTTTATGCCCGTGTTCACGATAAACCCATAATCAATGCTTTTGAATCACTGATGTTGGCATGCTAAATTTGTTTCTCATGCACCCAGTGGTGCAGGCACTGCACTTTTCAAAATCTGTCTGAATTTCCCCACTTTGGCAACAGTAATTTTTGACACACATCTTTCAAACCAACGTGCGTGTCTGACTCGCTCAAGAGAAATGTGTGCCATTTGTGGTCATCCTTCATTAGCACCAGAGTTACGTAATCAAAAAAACTTTTGCAAGTAGAATACCAAATCAAGCGCTTTGTCCTGTGGTCTTTTTTGTGGAGGTCATTTTATGCTCGTATGTATTCACACCAACTAGCCCGCCAACGCATTGTGTTGAGAGGTAATAATTGACTAAAATTTATTCCAGCTATTCGCTAGAAACCTGCAGTCATGAAAATTCTATTCTACCAAAACTTACTTCAGGAAGTCTATTGCATGTGTAACATAGGGAAATGGTCTTTTCAGCCAGTTGTCAGCGGTTACATTTTGCTCCTCTAGTCAAATCCGACAGAGGGAGTACCAGCTACACTAAGCACTCCCATGGCATCACCGCAGTGCGTCTGTGCCCGCTTCAAACATATTTTGGGACCGCACAATGAGGAGCTAAGACGACAGCATCTCATCTTCATGCTCAGATGACAACCTTCTTTTGTGCAAGCCCAAAACAGTCTGTTTCGTTCACAGCCTCAATTGGTCTCCTCAACCACGCATGCTCATATGCAGATCATTGCGTGCAATTTTGGAGCTTAGAGTCATGCACTACGGACAGGACGCTTTACAAGTGTAGGAGAGCTGACCAATAGGATCTGCAAAAATACAAACATTTTAACGCTTAAAATGCCCACCTTCCTCATTGGCACATTATGGTAATCATCGTCTGTTTTTCTCCCTGTCCTCATCGCCTTGTGTCATGTTATGTATGTGCGCCCTGCGTATGGCTGCCTGTTCACTGCAGAGTCCATAGGCCTAAAATACCTTGTCATAACTAAAACGTCATAATAAGCTTCGACGCACATTTTGGAATGCCAGCCTGGTGGAGAGACGTAGCTTGTGGGAAAAGGTGACGCCAAATGAGCTGGTGAAGTTCAATGAACTTTAGATTTACATCAGCATTGTTCACATTCTGCTCATCAGTGCATGTATTTCCGCTTATGCATGTAATCTGCACATTAAGTGTGGATTACACAAATCTCACTAATGTCAGGAACTGCTTCATCACACAGCATGAGCGATGAGGGAGTTCCCACCTTTCTTCTTTTTAATGCACGCATAAAACATTTATTTTTTGTACTGTTTCTCAGTAATATATTTCCAGAATGCATATTCTGAATGTCTCAGTGTTCTTGTATACACCCGAACCTCAATATAACAAACCCAAATAAACCAAAACATCTGTTATAATGAAGTAAATCAAGAATAGTCTTGCAATGATCTGGTGTTAGGAATTAGGAATATGCTTTTGTTGTGAAAGTTGAGAAATTACAGTTCAGGTACAGTCGAACATGGATATATCGAGCTCGAAGGGGATCGCAAATTAGTTCCATATATGAAAAATTCGATAAAAAAAAGCGCAATCAAGAATGGCGCCTACAATAGGCGCAACAATAGGCGCAATCAAAAATGACCATTCCACACACACGCCGCAAGAGAATTATTTATTTGCGTGAAAAAATTGCTTATCCTTGTTTTTGAAAAGTTTGTTTTTGAAAAGTTAGACGCTAGTCTCGATCTCATCAAGGCTGTCCAGGTGCGACAGCGTGGCACCCTCCATGTGGCCGATACAATGGCGAATGACGTCGAACGCTGCCGCCACTTCAGTGGCAGAGTACGCCCGTGTAGCCAGCACCTCGTCCGGAAGATCGTCCTCGTTACATGAGCTGTCAGCCAGGGCATCCTGGGTCCCTGCAACAGCAGCTATATTCTCGTCAGCAAGGACATTGCAGACCGCTTCCACAAAATTATCCGCAGACACTTCATGTGGAACTGCTGCCAAAAAGCGGGACGACAACTAGTGCTCGCCATCTCGTCTATGTGCTCTATGTGCTCTATCTGCTCTATGTGCTCACCATCGTCGTCTTCACTGCTTTCCGCAAGTTCCACTATCTCGAAGCCTGCCTTGTGGAACCAGTTGACCACTTTGTCCGTCTTCACGTCTCGCCAGGCATTAAAATCTTCGCGGGAGAAAACTCTGCGGAGATTCGCAGAAACCCATAGGCAGTCGGCGCTTTCATTTTCAGAAAGCGAGCACAGTCGCGCGTTTTTTGTCAAACGTGCGATCTATCGTCACAAACCACGTCTAAAACTACCGAAGAGACTCCTCGGCACACAGTCCTGCGTCAGTCCTGCATCTGGCCACTCGCGACTATTCAAGCAGAAGGGACGGGAGAACTCGAAGATTGGGGGGCTGTGCAGAACTATCGTCTTGTAAAGACGGTTTGCACGACAAAGCCGAGGCTGATCGCCAAAGACCAAGAAGCATACAGAGAACGTTTGCGAAAAAGAGTCAGCTCAGACAACGAGTCGCGCGAGCACCGGGCGGCAGCTGTACCATGTACGGGAGATGAGCACGTGAGCGCGCGCTCCAGCCAATAGCAACCACAGTAGTAGTAGTAGTAGTATGAACTTTATTAAGGTCCTGAGAGGAAAGAAAGCGGTGCCGAAAGCCCCGCCATCAATCCGGCGGCTCCACCCAGGTCGGGACCGGTAGACAGAGTCTCTCGGCGACGGCCCGGGCCCTCTGGACAGCCTTGAGCTGGGCGATGAGCTCTGTGCTTCGAAGGGCGGAGTCCCAGGAGGACTGGTCAGAAAATTCTGTACCCACGTTGGCAGGGCACAACCAGAGCATGTGGTCGAAATTGTTATACTCGTTTCCACAGTGTGGACATGCAGTGGAAAAGTCCGGATTAATCCTGCTTAGTGTCGTTGGTGTGGTGTATGTACGTGTCTGCAATTGTCTGTAAGTGATTGCTTGTGCTCTGTTCAGATCTCTGTGAGGAGGAGGAAAAGTTCGACGTTCTAATCTATGATGTGAGGTGAGTTCGTGATATGATACAAGTGGGTCTTTGTAATCGAGGTTCCTGCAGGCTGCATTTAAGCGAGGGGGCGAACCACTGACGCGGAAAGTGAGCTCTCGCGCCAGTGTGTGTGCCCGCTCGTTTGGGTTGCCAGCAAAGCCGGAAATGTTTCCCATGTGGGCTGGGAACCATGCGATGTGTGTAGACCGAAAGTTTTCCTCCTTCGTCTCGTGGTTGAAAAGCCTGTTAACGACCGCAGCTGCCTTCGAAGAGACTAGGGCCGCCGAAAAAGTTCTTATAGCTGTTCTAGAGTCCGAGTAAATGACAGAGGCTTCAGTGCAGCTTCGAAGGGCTAGCGCAATGGCCATTTCCTCTGCTTCGTGGGTGAAGTTGGTAACTACCGTGGCTGCGTTGACGAGCGAGCCGTGGGCGTCCACCACAGAGACTGCATAGGCACCTCGATTCCAATATTTTGCGGCATCAACGAAGAGGACCTGCGTATCGTTGCACATGATCTTGGCGAGTATTGCCTTGGCTCTCGCTTTTCTTCGTCCTTCATTGTGGGTTGGGTGTATGTTTCTGGGAATCGGGTCAACTGTTATCGCTTTCATGGCTTGTGTGCAAAGTTGGGACTTTTCTGGCGGCATGAAGAAAGGCTGAAGACCGGCTTCAAACAATATCTCGTTGCCCGCCTTTGAGAGTGAGAGCCGACTAATCTGTGCATGCCGCTGTGCCTCAAAGAGTTCGGTAGCTGTATTATGCAGGTTCAATTGTAAGAGTCGTTCCGTACTAGTGTTGCGAGGGAGGCTCAGGACCCTTTTCAATCCTGTTCGAATTAATGTATCAATTTTGTTGAGCTCTGTCTTCTTCCAGTTGAGGAAGGGGGCGGCGTAAGTCACGTGGCTGATGAGAAAGGCGTGAAATGCTTTCATGAGGTTGTCCTCTTTCAGACCAGCCCTTCTACTGTTGACCCTTGATAATACCCTGGTGAAGTTGAAGACACTTTTCTCTATACGTTTGAGGGCCTCCGCGTTGTCACCGCTGTAAGCACCAACTACCATGCCCAGGACCTTGATTGTGTTACATATTGGGATACTACCTCCGTCCTTGGTGTGTAGGTGAACGGGGAGGGAGCTAAGGAGCTGTCCCTTTCTGGGGCCGTGTTTACACAGAAGGAGCTCTGATTTGCTCGTAGATAGCTTCAGCCCCGTATTTTGTAGGAAAGCTTGTGTGGTGTCTAGGGCATGTTGTAGGTTCTGCTCCAGGGAGCCTAGTGGGCCACTTGTGGACCAGATGGTAATGTCATCTGCGTAAATCACGTGTCCTACCCCATGAACTTTCGAGAGTCGGTTCGCCAGATCGTGCATTGCGATGTTGAAAAGAAGTGGCGAAAGCACTGACCCTTGGGGGGTGCCGACGTTTCCCAGCTTGTGCTTACGGCTTCTGATTTGTCCGATGTTTATGGTAGCCGTACGGTCCGCCAAAAACGATCTGACATAGTTGTGAAATTTTTCTCCGAGATGTAAACTGGAGATTTCGTTGAGGATATGTTCGTGCCTGACCGTATCGAAGGCCTTCGTTATGTCGAGCGCCAGGATGCCCTTTACGTCCCGTGATTTATTGTCTATCACAGCACTCCTGATAAGGAGCATGGCATCTTGTGTTGATAGTGATTTTCGGAATCCTATGAGATTGTGGCGAAAAAGGTTGTTTGCTTCGATGTGCTCTGCAATTCTATTGTGAATGACATGTTCGGCGACCTTTCCGAGGCACGAAGTAAGGGATATTGGTCTCAAGTTCTCGGCATGGAGCGGTTTTCCGGGTTTGGGGATGAGAATTATATTGGC